TTAGCCCTGGAAGAGAGAGATGCGGGTGGGATTTTAAAAGGCCTGTCTGTGCCTCAGTTTCCCCATACCTTGCATGGCCACTCAGTGGCGGGGAGGGTGGGTTAAGTTCGCCCTCAGGGCAGGCAAAGAGACCCAGGCAGGTGCGTGGTTGGAATGTGGGGAAATTTTTATGGCATATTTCTAGGCCTTCCCGTGCCTCAGTTTCCCCATACCTTGCATGGCCTGCCAGTGGCAGGGGGACAGCCTAAGGCGGGAGACACATGGTGCTCCAACCTGGAGGGCACGGCCAGGGAGCTCTCTGCTGACCTAGGGGCTCCCCAAGGCCATGTGCCAGGGGGGCCGAACAAACCTGGATGTGTTCAGGGGCCGGGGGACCTCGCAAACCCGGGCTGGGCACCGGGGGACCTGAGCCTGGCAGAGCCCGGAGGGCTCCCAGGGATGGTGCCAAAGCTGGGGTCTAGCTCCCATCCTAGGGGTCTGGAGCTGATGGAGAAGCGACGGGACCCACAGAGCAGCCCCATAACCTGCCACAGCATGGCGCTCCTTCCCTGAACCCCCCCAGCCCATACTCTGCCCGGCCCCTGCCCCACGGTGCCCCCCCAGAGCCTGGCCTTGACCGCCAGGGGAGAGCGTCCCCTGCCCAGCCCCCAACCCTGCTCCCTGCCCCACGGTGCCCCCCAGCACCCAGCCCTGACTGCCAGGGGAGAGCGCCCCCAGCCCAGCCCCCTGCCCCACGGTGCCCCCCAGCAGTGGCGTCGGGGGTGGGCAGAGTCCATAGGGGAGCGGCGAGGGAGGGGGGCAGAATTCAAACCCGCCTGTGATTCAAAACAGAAAAGCTAAAACTGAAGAGCCCAGAGCCAGCGTCTCCATTTCATCTTGGGTCTCAGTCAGCAACCGACGGCCCAGCCGGGCCCAGCCCCACGCGGGCACCGAAACAGGGAGCCCAAGAAGAGAACCCAAGAGTCCGGGCTCCCAGCCCCCTGCTCTATCCACTAGACCCCACTCCCCTCCCAGGGCCCAGGAGAGAACCCAGGAGTCCTGGCTCCCAGCCCCCACCCTATAGTAAAGGGGGTAGCTGGGGGGGTCAGCACCCCTCCCCGCCCCATAGGAAATATCCTGCTTTAATTCCTTCTGTTCCAGCCCCAAGGGGCAGGATGGGGGGTAGGTCACATGACCCCCCCACCCGCCGCCCAGCCCCTCCCCACTTCCCAACAGGCCAGGACGAACAGATCTTTGGTGGTCACCCCCATACACAGCTCCCCCCCAATATTCCAGGGGACCCCCACACGGATACATCCCCCCAAAGCCACTGAGACGTGGGCTCAGATGGACGGGGGATGGGGACAGTGGGGGAGGGGGATGGACAGGGCAATGGGGTCAGAGGGGGATGGACGGGGCGATGGGGGCAGAGGGGGAGGGGGATGGTGGCAGTGGGGGAGAGGGATGGACGGGGAGGGGAAGGGGTGATGGGGAGGGTGGACAGGCAGCGGAGGGAGGGGAAGGTGGCTGCAGCCTTCGCAGCAGTGACTAAGCAGAGGGTGGCCACCCGGAGGTTTGGGGTGACAGGGGCCGGGGCTGAGCCGAGCGCTGGAGGGGGGGGTGGGGTAGGCCGACGGATGGACGGACAGATGGAAAGCAGGATGGATTGTCAGGCAGGGGGTGGGCTGAGGGGATGGAGGGGGAGGGGAGGCGACAGATGGATGGAGAAACAGACGGAGAGATGGACGGACGCTGGACAGCTGGATGGATGGACGGACCGACGGATAGATGGACAGTTGGCTGGACGGACGGATGGATGGATGGCTGGGTGGACTGACCAACAAATGGATGGTTGGATGGACAGATGGATGGATGGATGGACGAACAGACGGCTGGAGGGATGGATGGACAGATGGATGGATGGATGGACGAACAGACGGATGGATGGATGGACGAACAGACGGATGGATGGATGGACGGACAGCTGGGTGGATGGCTGGACAGACTGACGGATGGATGGATGGACGGATGGATGGATGGATGGACGAACAGACGGATGGATGGACGGACAGCTGTTTGTCCTCACCCCCCCCCCCCAGCTCCTCACCAGTCGGTGCCTGCCTCGTCGATGACCAGCAGTGTCCGGCTGCGTCCCGCGCCCCCCGCGCTGCCGCCCCCCACCTGCTCGCTGAAGGTGGCCGCCGCGGCCGCTGTCGTCTGCTTCACGGCGTTGGACAGGGACGAGAAGAACCCGCCTCCCCCTCCGCCGGCCCCAGGGCTGGGGGC